TATGATTAAAGAAAAGTGGAGACAAATACGCAAAACATTGGGAATGTGATAGAAAAGGTCATGCTAACAATAAGCACAGGAGACAGGAAAGGCTTTTGTGCATTAATGCACTTCATGAAGCAAAGTTTTAACATTCCTCTGAGAGAAACCAAACCACCCGCTTAAAGGCGCTGTTAACAGCATATCTCCAAGCACTGTTTGCTGAATTACGCAAAAGACAGAGCGTCATCGCAGTTAGCGTCCATGACAGTGTGTTGGAGCGACATAGTTTTACATTGAAAATCAGAAATGGTTCACTTGTTTAGTTATTTTTTTTTATTCAGTAACCTAATAGGTTGCTTTTTTGTTATCTTCTGTCTAGTTCAATATTGTGCAAGAAAGTTTTTTTGTTTATTTAGTGAGTTTTTAATACAGCTGGTACAATAAATTGGTAAAATGCAATGATGTACTATTTATTCCTTTAGCATATTGTTAAAAAAAGAAACATACTAAGCCACTCATGTTAATAACAGGATTCACTTGATACAAGAAAAAACTGAAATTGTAAGTAAATTTTTAAATTAATTGTTACTTGATTTATAAGATCAATCAAATTTTATTAACAAAAAAAGCACTTGGAGACACAGACCTCCGCCAAGCAGCAACTTTTGCCCCATATTGTGACTTACACCTATAGATAAAATGCACACATGATCAGGATCATTACCAAATTTAAATGAATCGTTCGCTGCCAGGATGTACTCCACTGGTAAAAATATGTCAGTAAAAATCAGTTCATAATTTGACTCTGCAAACAAAACCAACTGCGTTACCTTTCTTTGTGTTTTTGTCTGTAGTAATGCTGAAGCTGTCAAAAGTTACTGCTGCCACCCTCTGGTTTAGTGGGGAACTGCGTGTTCTGCCAACTATTCCTCACAATATTAGAGCAGCTTTACAAAACAAAATCCTGTATCCAGATTATAATCTGTATCAGTACCAACATTTTATGGATTTTTTTCTTGGCATGAGGGACACCTCTGTTAAAAAAACAAAAAGTTTAAATCTCCTACACACAGACAAACAAACACACAAACCCTACTAAAAGCATAAGCCCCATTTACACTACCTTTTTGAAACCGTGCTGCGATCGGTCCAAGTGCGTTAATCGAGATAACTGTTGAGTGTAAATGGCACGCAAAACTGAACAGACCCACACTAACATGGAACTAGCTCATCAGTCGGGTTTGGCGCTGTTCAGTTCTAGCTAAGTTTTCAGATAACAAAGAGCGAATGAGAAGACCACGTCATCTCCTTACAGTCAGCCTCCTTAATCATGAAATTTCAGACATAAAAATACTAGTTTCCCTACGTGCCACATGGTTCCCAGTGAGGATTCTGCTT